GAGTTATGTTCACGCTATAAAACATACGTATGAGTAAGAAAGCTCATTGTTATGGAATGTTCCAATAGAAGCCTGAATGCCTTCTGTTCAACCATCTTCTGCCCTCCTCTTTCTCTTTGAATGTGATTACAAAATTTCATGAGGCGGGGCATCGTTTTATTGTGGCTGAAATTCTTCGTTGAGACCTTACTAAGAAGTTATGTGGAAATAATTCGCATCTTATGACGCCAGGATATTTCTATTTACTTTCTTTGGGCTTAATTTCCCTTGCCCATGTGCTTTGCTTGTTAAGTTAACGTTTTCATGAATATAATTCCCATAAAAGTTTTACTGCAGCTCATTTTGTGGAGATTATTTTTTTAAAGATTTTTCCCAAGCAGAAGAGGTAAATAAAAGACGCTGTCACAGCAAACTGCAAGTCGCCGTGTCCGTTGTTTCATGTTATGTTTCATGCAATAACTTTCATAGGTTCTACTCGTTTTTATTTCAATGTTATTAAAATCATATCTTGTTAGATAATAATAATGGTTGTTGTAAAATCTCTGTACATTTTAGCGAACATTCATAATCACGTTTTTTAAGATGAAATTGCAAAATGTACGACAATAACAGACATCCAATCTCCCATCCCATGTTTGTGGACAATAAATTGAAGAAATAAAAGTTTCTTCTTCTTCTTCTTCTTCAGTTCCTAGCTGTCGGCTGGTGGAGGGGGCTGGCCCCATAACCAATACTCTGCCGGTGGTCTCGGGACGTTGAGCAGGACTTGCTTCCAATTCTGGCGGTTGGCGACTAGGTCATCGCTGGTGGTGCGACGGCGGATAATCAGGTCTTCCTCGCTGTTCTTGCGCGTGCTCTTATTTGGGGCCGTATGCTGGATCTTCCACTGGGTTGGTCGTTGTCGCGAGAGGGGTTGGTGCAGTAGTCGGGCGGTGCTCATTCGACTGACATGACCGAATTGCTATCGGAATGCGCTCTTCGATTGGGGCCTGGTGGTCGCACCTTACAGGAATGACTTCATTTCAAACTCGGTCGCGGATGCAAATTCACAATATGTGACCTAAGTAACGTATTTGGAAAACCTCGAGCTAGTTGAGGTCAGACTTGACGAGAACCCATGTCTTAAATCCATAGAGGAGTATTAATAAAATGAGTGTTCGAAAGAGGCGGATTGTGATTTTGAGCGAGATATTCCCATTGTTCCGTAGGTACTATTCGAGCGAGGCGATCACCGCTTCTGCCTGACCAATGCTGCTGTGGATATCTGCCGAGGACGCAGCTTTATTTTCTTGAATCAGTGACTCAAGATACTTAATATGACACCTGTTACATCTGGACTCCTGACAGACATTGACCTGTGACCCATCAGTTGCCTTTGCTTTGGTTTTCTCAGTGTTGATTTTGAGTCCATAGGATTCCGCGGTTTGGGCGATATCGTATAGGAGGTCAGTAGCTTCGGTGTCGGTAAATAATGGTAATAACAGTTACAAGCATACGAAAACTGGAAGTGTAAGCAATACGTTGACAAAGTTTTATCGCAGTGGAATGAACGGTAGGCTGCGCATTACGTATGAAACAACAAACAAACATTGACTTTCATATATAAGACTTCCAACAACAACAAAAATTAACTCTGAACGTGCGTCTTGGAACCTGAACAATTTTGAGAAGAGGCCACGCGGGCTTTCGGTACCGGTGCGCCGCTGCTCCTCGGTTCCTCGAAAAAGAACAATGGCGGCGCGTGACGCGCTCGTCTCCTCCGGAGGAAGTCGCGGCAGAACAGCGCGGCGGCAGAGGCGGCGTAATTATGTTAAAAAGCCTCGCGACGGGTAATTACGGCCCCCGGAGCGCGTCCGGCCACACCAGCGCTGCCGGCGGACGTCTGCGAAAGCTCTGCGTCGCGTTTGCGTGACGAGATAGGTTGTCCGCTCCCACCGAAACAAAAATGCTTCTCGGAGTCTTTCGTCAATTCGGTAGAGGATAATGCAAAGCAAAATTGTGTTTTAAGTAAAATTTTGCAAGTAAATCCACGTTAAAAAATCTTGTTGAGCAAAATTGAACTCAAATTTGGATTATATTCAGCAAGGTGTTGAAAACAAGAGAAACTCGCCAATTGCACGAGGGCGAAAAATCTAGGGGTGCAATTTTTAGAAGAAGTCTAGATACGTTTGATGAATGGGGAAAATGTCTCGTTGTGTCTGTTGTGGCCTTAGACCATCTTAGGCTCTTTAGTACTACAACAGAAACGATGTCGAAGCGAGTTTCGTACAAAGTCATTTTAGGTTCTAGAGGAAAACGTTAAAATTCTTCTCACAGGATGAGAGATAATGAACAAAATGATATAGCTAAAGAACATGGAGCATGACCGAGTACATTGTTCTCCCAGAAAAGAAAAAAACAAATAAACAAGTATCAAATCTTGGTTCGTTTGCGGACTTCGTGGGTATGGGGGGGGGAGCATGTATAAACGTTCCAGGTACTAGAAGGTGAGTTTCCTCTAGTGACGAATGCATATCGAAGTTCTTCAATCTCATTACCACAACACTACTACTATTACTCATTTACAAATATTACTTTTACCTTTAGGAATAAGGCAGAAGAAAGAAGAATTAATGATTTGAACTACATATTTAGAACACGTATTTGTTATTTCATTCTAACAGTTTCCAGTTCGCCTTGGATTTCGAATTTATAGCACTTTATGCCATTCTTCGGAAAATAAAAAAGGAAGAATGATAAACACGGACACAAGACAATTAAAGAAAAATATGCTAATTCCTTTGGCATATTCTACAAAATTATAATAAATTTCCCGCTAAACTGAGTATGCGTTTCAACAAACATTTTAAAAAAATTTCATTTCATTTCCAAATTTCTCTCATGGCCTTTACTAACGATTCTCTTCTTTCTCCTTTCATGCTGGGGTCTTAGTTGCAAACTAATCTATAATATAAAGCGCGAATTACGGAAAAAGAAATCAGATGAACGAGTACCTACAGAAAATAGTTTTTCAGTTCTAGAGCATAGAAACCGCTATTTCCGTTTGCTGTATATTGTATGATAAGTAGATTTACGGGGCGGATACTGTAAAGTAAACAAACACTAAATGCAGCAAAATATGCAAAACACTAGAGTAATGCCAATGAACTAAAATGAGGTCGCCTAATAAGAAAGATCCTCATAAGTGTTCATGAATTAATACTACAAATAATGTACGAAAGTAGTACCAAAGTGTCTTTGGGATATTTACTTCAAAATTCCTGTCTTGGCATCAAGCGTTGTCTCGACTGGATGCATTTCATTTGCATTATTCCCTTTGTGTACTAGTTACTTTTGAGTAAATAACTATTGAGAAGATACGCTATTTGGTGTTTCTTTTCCTTCTGTTCGTTTTTGCCTTAGTTATCCTTCACATAAATATCATCAGAGGAAAATCATCACTAGGGAGAATTCGATTACTTGTGAGAGCCTGCAGTTCTCGTGTAGAGACACAGTGAAATTGGATTCAGAATGTGAAAGACAGGAGGCCAAGAAACATCTGAGCGGGACAATCACTGTGCATGTGCAATTTGCAACTACGTCGAAACTCGAAGGAGGCAATTACAAGGATGGCATTCCGCCCATACATCAAATCGATCCCAAGAAAGACAATACATTTTTTTTTTAACGCCCATTATCAATACGACTTGTACATGAAGTTGATTTGATATTCCGGTTCCATCTTAACTCGTCCCTCCAAGTATTTTATAGGTTGTAAATAAATATAATTCACGTGCAGATCTGTTTCCTTCAACCACTTTTTTGATTTGTATAAACTATAATAATCATGCAAAAGGTTTGGTTATAATGCAGTAATATTTACAAAATTATTACTATTTTTCTGAAAACGTAGGAAAAGGGGCTTTATCACTTCTTTTGCATACGTTTTCAAGGTAATGTTTTCCCTCTCTTTTTGTCACGATGTAAACATTTTTCAATACATGAAAATCCATACATTTTAAACTGTGTTTTTTTTAGTTTCGATATCAAAAATGTCTCAAAATGTAGTACTAGATTCAGAAAAAAATCTAATAACACAAAGCAATTTATAACAATGACAGGAAAATTAAAACTTTCGGAATCTGTGTTTTGTTTTCTTGATTTTGGGTATAACATTTTTATTATTTAGATTCATTCAATTGCAGAAAATTAAGCCCTTGGTTTAATCAACTCAAAAATTCAGCTGAAATTACGTAAGCAGTCCGCACGAACAGCCGGAGCTGAAGTAAAAGCGGCGGACGAGTTGCTTTTCAGAGCCAACAAAGTCAGTAATCTGCTGTTTTTTTTAAGAAAGACAAAAACCTAGCGTGGAGAAAAGCATTTGTGGGAGCACTTAAGACTTAATTGTTCTTTCGTGAGGCATATATGACTATGAAACTACTACCTTTCCCTCACTGTAATTTGCAACGCACAATCTTATACTGCCAAAACAAAGATTTATCTGAATATCCGAGCTCGCTAAGGCCGAAGGGCCGTAGCTGCCTCGGTTCGAAGGGTCACGAGTTCTAATTCCGGCTTGGGCATGTGTGTTTTTTCTTGTGGTCTTCCTACAGTTCTCCCAACAGTCAACACAATCTCAGTGGTCGCTGTCTGACCAAGTTGTTAAAAAACTATCTAAAAAATTGTCTATTTGGTTTGAATTTTCGTTTCCTCTCGCTCGGAGAAAGTATTGTAAATTGTTATTTTGAATGTCTGAAAATATATTCCAGTTTTTTCTATGTTTTCTCATGACTTGAGTTACGAAGTGATATTCAAGAGAACGAGCATTGTATTTGGTTTCTCGTGCATGTTAGAGCACCATTTAGGCGTGAAGGCTCCTGTTACGCAGTCCAGTAATCATAGTGCAAACCAGTTAACGACCTCAACTTGTTGCT